CTAGTTCTTCTTCATCAACGTACTTTCCCGGAGACGAAGAGCTTAGCAGTCTCAGTATTGAAAAAGCCGCAAGACCGAGAAACCGAGAGCTCCAGTAGTACACGCGACACCTTTCAGCTCATTGAGCTCCCAAGTTGGCTCAAAAGGAGACATTGAAGCTCCGTTCATGGTAAGTTAACGACCTGCAGGTTGCTATGATAGCTCTCTGTTGTTGTCTATCAAGACGTTGATCTTTCTTGTCCTTCAGAGGATTCTGGACGAGCTCCAGTGCTTGAGAGATCTCTTCGTCGAGAACGCTCGTCGTCTACTGCATCTGTTGTCCAAAGCTCGAGCTGACATCACCAAGTTATTGCAGAAATACTACACTCTCCTGTTCGCAGACGCACCGACTAGAGTTCATCACGCAATGGTTGACTTTAATCGATGGCTTGTTGAGGTGCTGAATGACACACGCTCCGAAGGGATCGAGTGGGGCCCATCGTATGGTGAGAACCCGTGGCTGGCTCTGGAAGAGCCACAGCCTCAAGATGAACCATTGGTTGAAGCCTTCACTGCCGACGATGTCAGTACCTTCCGCCTATTAAGAACGGCCTGCGAGTATTACATGGCTCGTTGTGAGAGTCTCCAACACACCAATGCCGATCTCACAACGCAGCTCGACCAATTAAAGGTCAAGCTGAACGAAGCGCTTGTCCGTGCGTTTGAAACACAGCAGACGTTGGAGCGCGAGCGAGAAGTATCGATGCTGCAAGCTGACCGTATTGTGATGGGGGTGCAGATTGGCGACCATCTCTCGCGACAGAATTCACACGGCCAGCGTCCGACAAGTCTACAGCAGCAGATTACAGAAGCTTTCCAAATGCTGGACGTGATTAGCGGAGTTCCAGTTGAAGGCACTGAAACAGAGTCGACTTCGGTGAGTGAGTGGGGGCCTGAAGGCGAAGGAGAAGGAACCCAAGCTAATGAACTTGAAAGCGCCGAACATCAAACAACTGTCGATACGGAGGAACGTCTGCATTTATCCAGTCGTGAAGAGGGTGAGGCAGCGCAGCCGTCTTTGGCTCATTCAACCGCCACGTCCGATGGTTACGACTACCAGCACCTTACCGACCTGCGTGCAAGTGAAGATACGAGCAGTAGTTGGTATCAACATGCACTGCGCTCACTCATAGACAAGCGCGAGCAACGCAAACCCAGAGAAGATCCAGAAGCAAGTTCCTTTACCGCTGATGCAGACCACAAGGAAGCTTTTTCTGATGATGCACAAGAGTTCGTGCAGCTCGTTTCTATTCGCAATCCAGCTGAAGACGGCGAAGACTCGACGTGGTATCGTCGAGCTCTGCAACATCTCAAGGACGAGCGCAGACGCCGTGCGAGTCTCCGTGACCGCGACTCCTTTACCTCCACCATTTCTATCGTCGACTAGCTGACAAGCGAAGCAGTATGAAAGCCAAAGCCCAGTCGAGATAGTCCTCGCCAGCACTACCAGTCGTTATTCCCAAGCCAACCAGACGTACTTCTGCTCAACGTGAGCGTACAAGTTTTCCTGGTTTATTCATGTGCAACAAGAGATACTTCAAAGTACTCCGGTACAACCACTGCTCTCACCACGTTTTATCCCAGATAATCAGTTCATGCAAACGTTTCTCGAGATCTTCGTTACGTTGGCCGAGTTCCACGATATCATCTCGTGCATTCCGTAACAGATACACTGCGTAATCGTATTTCTCCTGCATTTCGCGTTGTTCCTGCAAGAAATCATTTTTAAGCTCTTCTATCATCTGTGACAGCTTCACTTTGGTCGTGTGTTTCCACTCCGCATGTTCCAGTTGCATTTCATGCAATTGTTGCTGAAGTTCCAGGGCTCTACTGCGTTGTTTCTCCACTTCTTCAGCCAACTTCTTCTCCTTATCTGCAGTGGCTTCCAACGCCAGTTTGAGTCGCTGTTTGTCGTTGTCAGCTTCTAGCTGAAAGCGCTGACGCTCCTCGTCCAGTGCAGACTGCAAATACGCTGCACGCTCTTGCTTCATCTTCTCGCGTTCATC